ATGCAAATGTTAAGCAATACTATCACAATCTACCTATTCCTACAGAATGCCAGTTGTGGTGCCCCCTCAGATTGCCTCACTTACCCATGTCATATTCTGTTTTGTTTTCCAAAGAGAAACTCCTGTAATAACTATGGTGTTGACGTGATTGCCACTCTCCAGTCTATCTCAGACTCCCTTCCTTCTCACTCACTCTGTTCAGTGACACTGACCTTCTGTCAGTTCTTGGAATGCAGCAGTACATTCTGCTCTTTCTTGTTTGAGAATTTTTGTACTCTTCTCCCCTCTGTTTGAAATTTGTTTCTCTGTTTGTTTTGCTTTTTTATGTCATGGCTAGATAATTGTATTTTTCAAGTTTTACTTTCTCTGAGAGCTATTCTGTGACCCTCAAAATAGAAACCCCTCCCACGTTCTCCTTCACAAAACACTCTCTGGCCATTTCTATCTCGTCCTTGAGGGTTTATCAAGGGGTTAGGCACGTATCTAGTGCTCAGTAAATATTTGATGAATAAGTCAATGATTAAATAAGGAGAATTAGAAGATCATCTTATCTCTTTTCCTTAATCTGTTTTCAAACTGTCCTCTTACGGGGTTCAGTCACCTAGGAAAGCAGCACTATACTCCCGAGCCAGCAGCTCTTGACTTAGTGTCTTATTTCCAGACACTCTGGGTGATATCCACTGTGATCTTTGTATTTGTGAGGAGCACAGGAACCTGAGAAAAATCTTGAAGAATTCTTTGAGAATCAAGGCCTCCTGAATACTCTGTGTGGACTTACCTACCTACCACTGGTCAATGGAACTCTCTGTGAGGTTATACATGGCTTATATTTACCCTGGTAACTATCAATATGGTAGTCTCACTCAAGATGTGAGAATGAGACTAAGGAACTGAATTTAAAATTTTACTTAATTTAATTTAAATAGCCACGTGTGGCTAGCGGATGCTGTATTGGACAGCACAGTTCAATGCTTTTCTCTCCCAGTGGTGTAAGACGAGTCACTACTGGTCAGAGAAAGCCTGCAAGCATGGCTGGGGTCCTCCAGGCAGAGTCAGGGGCTGTGGGGAAAGTTGGAAAAGGGAAAATAATTGCTTTGTTTCCTCGACAATCAGAAGTATTACATCTTAGACATATAAAACAAGGACATTAAAATTTGTTGCCTAGAGTAAAAATAAATGAGTGATCCAGTAGAGAAGGTATGAATTCTGTTGATCACTTGGCACATGTACTCTGTTATACAGAAAATGAAAATACAAAAAAAATTTGCATTTAGGTTTTGGAGATTTCCCCCCACTTTATTTAATTTAAATCCCAATTTTCAAATACAGCTTGTAAAAGCTTCATAATGAGATGTGCTTTTAAGTACCTTATTTTTATGTAGGTTCTAAAAATATAAACCTTTAATCAGTTTAGCTCAAGATAAGGTAGATTTAAAAACACATTGCAGTCTGAACTGATTTTTCAGAATAATAAAAGCCTCATGAAACTTTTTACCTCAAGAATTGTCATTTTAAATTCTTAGCAGGTCTGTCATTTAAATCAGGCACTGTGCAGTTTTTCTATCATATATATATGTGTGTGTATATATATTTCTCTCTCTTCTGCTTTGTGCTCTGCCCAGCTTCAGTTTTTTATCTCATTCTCCAGTGCCCTCCTAAGATGGCTCTTCTTACTGAAAAATGTCCAACTCATTTTAAAGATTTTTTAGAAAAAGAAAGATTATCTAAAATTTGAAGAGAAGCTAACCAGAATGCTATAAACAATGCCGCTGAGGCTACTTCCTGATGAATAAACACTGGTTATTTTTAGAGGCATTTGGATTGGTCAGTTGGCAGACAGATTTCCAGTGGCAATACTCGGTGGAACTGATTAGGATTTATAATAGAAAATGAGGGTAGGCAGCAGAGCTGGTAGGAAGAAAAAAAATAGTCACCTTTCCTTTCTTTTTAATCTTTTCAGTTATCTCCTCTCATTCATGCCCCAAATTTAGAGGTAAAATTTAAGCTGGGAGTGATAAAATGCAGACTTTGAGAGCAGGACATACTCCCATAGACATTAAATTGGTAAGATAAAGTTATTTTTGTTTGATTCTAAAAATACCAAGTTTTAAACCTATGTTTTCATATTACTGTGTAATGAACTAAAAAAAAAAATGGCATTTAAAAAATCATTGAATTTCTCTAGATAGCATCCAATACATGGATTATATTTTATTGACAATACTTACTTGAGGTTTTTCTACTCATGGCTCTACTATATTCTGCAAAGCTTATGATATTTTAGAGAAGGCATGAAGGGACACATCAAGATTGTGCTTTATCTAACATATCACTGTCAACATCACCAATAGAAGGGGTTTACTATGTCAGATGTAATAAGGTATATTATTATAACCATCATCACTTGGTGTATATGTTGTAATCAATTATGGCACATTTATGGCAACAAAGATTATAAAATCAAAGTAAAAAACTAATGGAAAGGTTAACGTGGTGCTGGTTAGTACAGAAAATAGTTTGTTGCTAGGATTGTATTTAAAATAGGGATATTCAAAGCATATAGTTCAAGGGGGCAATAAAAGTATGAATTAGTCTTAATAAACTATTTTAAAAATTATTATCTAGGTACTAAAGAACCATAGTCATTTGTTATGTGACAACAGAGGCCCGGTGCATGGAATTTCACGTACTGGAGAGGCGGTCCCTCGGCCCAGTCTGCCCCTCTCACAGTTCGGGAGCCCTCGGGGGAAGGTAATGCCCCCATCACACCTCTGCCACTGCCACTGCCACTGCCGGCAGCGCAAGCCTCAGCTGGCCCTGGTTACCTGATGCTAGGATGGCCCTAAGTGGCTGGGAAGCCGCCACCCACGGCTTGCCTGTACCTCGAGCCAGTCCTGGGAGGTTGTTGGGGTTAAGGGGACTGGGGGACTCCAGAGGCAGGTGCGCGGAGCAGCCAGACCAGTAAAGGGCTGGCCAGGTTATTCCCATGCCTGCCATCCCAGTGGGGCTGAGGGGACTGGGCACCATCATCTTTGTGAGGTTGTGATGGTCAATTAGCACATCCCCTCTTTATTGGATAGGATGTTATCTTTTTAGGCATCTACAAAGTTGTTTATTTTCTAGAATCAAAATACATTTTTTTAAAAAAATATATTTTATTGATTTTGTACAGAGAGGAAGGGAGAGAGATAGAGAGCCAGAAACATCAATGAGAGAGAGTCATCGATCAGCAGCCTCCTGCACACCCCCTACTGGGGATATGCCCGCAACCAAGGTACATGCCCCTGACCGGAATCGAACCCGGGACCCTTCAGTCCCCAAGCCGATGCTCTATCCATTGAGCCAAACCGGTCCCGGCCAAAATACATTTTTTTATGTTCAGAAAATAAAATACAAATTTATGTACCACAAGCTTGCATAGGTGGAGAATTTTGATGTAACAAGGGAATTAATTACTATTAAAATTTAACATCAGTGAAACTTGAAAACATGACTGAAAACACTGACTTATATTCTCATGATTAAAACATATGACTTTTAAATTGAATATTCCCTGATTACATTTAGTATTTTATATAAATTGCCAATTTGGAGAATTACAAAGCAAAACTTAAATGAGATAAATAAATACTTGGAAATCATTATTCTTTCTTCTACATGTGACTCAACCCCTGTATTTGTGAGAATACATATAGTACAACAAAAAAAGCAAATTCACAATAAACTATCGGAGTTCCCAACAATCTGGTATCATAAGGTGAAGTTTTCTACTCTGATACAGTTTTTTCACAGAATCTTGAGACTAGACTACTGATACCACATGCTCACTGTCTTTCTCTAAGAAGAGAAAGCATGGTGGTTGCCAAGTCCTATGATATGGACAACATGCTCATGTATTACTTTGTTGCTCAATAATGAATCTGCCTTTAGTACATTTAAACAACAGTTTCTTCATAAATTCATACACCTTTCTCTAAAGAGTTCAAAGTGAACTCACTAATATAGCCAGTCAACACTTACAGCTTCTTTAGATGGTGACAATACTGAGTACGTAAATAAAGAGTTTCTATATTCCAACTCTAGTCAGATTATATTTTTGAAAATTACACTACTGTGCAACACTTCAAGCTGTGGTATAGAACAAGCATTCTATATAGTTCTGGCTCAATAAATATGATAACCATAAAACTCATAAACTCGGTTAATTCTGTCAATTAGCCTGGGTTCAGTGTTTTCTAACAATCGATTGGAAAATGGATAGTCTATAGATAAAAACACGGTCTTGTCAATTATCTTAATTTTGCCAACAAAAAACACATGGAATTTTGAACTTTGACAGAATAATATTTATATCAGGACAACAGAATCGGAACTTGAAAATTAAAGACAATTATCGATACTTAGTTTCAAAAGAAATGTATATGCGTTTTAAAGCTATCGCTAGCATTCCCCCCCACCCCCCAAAAAAGAGATGAAACAGTAAGTTTATATGAGCAGGATTTAAATTAATCAGTTCCTAACAACTGTTAAATACAATCTTTTGGAAATTAATTTGCATAATGATCATCTACATGGGGTAGGGCTGAGATTATTTAAACGACATGATATTTCACTATTTAGTCTTGCTCCACCACTACGTTAGCCGTGAATCCTTATGAAATGTAATGCAGCTAATGAGGTAGCTTTTTAACTGAACAAACTGACAGGCCCCATATCTGCAGAGGCAGCTTGAAACCGTGCCCAACCTCTTGGCTTCCCAAGAGGCTTTTCAAAATTCAATAAATAACATCTGTAGGCAATGTTGGGTGCAGACCTAGCAGAGTGCGTCATAACACTGTGCTGGCAGAACAAAGAAACCATGACGACTGCCAAGTTTCCATGGCAACTGCTGAGAGGCTCTGAGAGTATAATAGCACATCAATCACTGTCCAAAAGAACTTCATTATCAGCTAGAAAAAACCTTTAGGATCTGTTTAGTGTGCAATTGTGGGTTAACTCACCTCAAAGCCTTGCTCTCTAGCAAAAGTGGCAGCTTCCTGGAATAAAAAAAAAGAAAAAAAAAGAACAGTTAATTATAAAGTGCGAGGTAATGAAGAAATAATCCATTTTGAAACTCATTCAGTCTTCTTTTTACACAATTATCTCAATATACCCACATAGTTCAATTTTTATTCTTACACCAAAAAAGATTTCTTTTTCCCTTGGCATTAAAAAAAAAAAAAAAAAAAAAAAAAAAAAAAAAGGGCAACATTATGTCAACACACTTCACAAGTTGGAATAAAGAAGATGTAGTGAATGTTTTTACTGTAGCTGTCACAGTGAGTTCAGGTGTTTTGACCCCAACAAAGAAAGACAATTATTTGAAACCTCTGGAACATGTCTGGCGCTTATGTTTTTAATTAAAACAATATCTTTCAAAAAGCTCTTTTATAGAGAAAAAAGTCTGCTAGTAAATGTATCGATTAAGAGAAATCACCATTTTGCAGTCTCTAATGAAATTTATTTGGACAAGGATCATCAATGGATGCTAAATTCATTAGGTGAAAGGATGATGGGGAACTGGGTATTTCATGGAATTAAAATGTCACAGATTATGTGTTGATCACAGGGAGAAAACTATAAATTTATAATGGAAGGAACAAGCTATCATAACCTTAATCCAGTGATTGATCATATCACTTATTATTAACAGTGGGGTCACCAATATTCTGTTATGAGACAGTATGAAGTACCCAGCATCATCTATACAGTTTCCTGATGAAAATTTTTTATTTATTTTTAAAACATATTTTATTGATTTTTTTACAGAGAGGAAGGGAGAGGGATAGAGAGCTAGAAACATCGATGAGAAAGGAACATTGACCAGCTGCCTCCTGCATACCCCCTATTGGGGATGTGCCCACAACCAATGTACATGCCTTTGACCGATTCGAATTTGGGACCTCTCAGTCCACAGGCCGATGCTCTATCCACTGAGCCAAACCGGTTTTGGCATGATGAAAAAATTTTAAATGAATTAATCAAAACTTTAATTATGTAATTTGCTGTCTATAGGATATGCAGGGAGTAGAAGAACAAGTTCAATGATATACTGAGAAAGCAAATAGAAAAATCCATAGGGAGGATATTTTATAGGACGAATAGCTTGGTCTCTTCAATAAGTCAATTTCATGATAAAGTGAGAGGGGGAAAAATGACCAAGAATACTATACGAGGTAATGAAGAAATAATCATTTTGAAATGGACTATTTCTTCATTACCTCGCACTTTATAATAAACCAGGCATAAAAGATATTTTGGGGACAACGGGAGAAATTTAAATATTTTAAGAATTATAATAGATAACATTAAGAAGTATCAATTTTGATAAGAAAAATATCCTTAATTTTTAGCAGTTAGTCCTGAAATATTTAGGGATAAAATGGCGTGATACATATAATTTACTTTAGAATTCTTAAAAATATTAAAGTAAAGCAAAATGGCAACATATTAATTATATCTAAATATATTAAGTATTTCTACTTTTTTGACTGTTTGAAAATTACAAGAAACAGTCCAAATAAATCCCTATTTTATTTTGGTTTAAGATGACAGGGTAACAAAAGTTGAACATTAAAAACATATAATTGAAATACATAATGTTTTCCTAGAATTAAACATCTTTAGGGTACAATCTGAATGAACATTATTATATACCCTAATGCTGTTGCAACAGGTATCAAATGACAAAAAACACTTCTATGCAACCAAATCCTCTCCCTTTCTCTCCTCTGCTTTTTGCATGTATTTTAATGTTAGGACTAGTACAGAAAATGGAGGCAATATCACTGTTCAACTCTACTTCCCTCTTGAAAATGAAAAAAACTGCAGACAACTGTCAAGAGCCTCTACATCTTAACTTACATTCCTCCAAAATTATCTCTGCCAAGAGATATTAATAGAAGGATGGGATTTGAGTCCAAGTAGTGAGCAGATCCAACTCAACTGAAACGACGCTGCACCAAACCATGTAAGGCAGAAAGTACAGTCAAAGTCTCCAGCACAGATTTGGGTCCCATCTACATGTTAGGGAAAACACCGGGGGAAAAGTATGTATGCACGGATGGTCCCATATACTAATAAAATATAAATTTAAAGAACCATTTTGAGGGTTTAAAAAGGTTGAAATGGACGATGAAAGGTGAACACCAAAGTTGATAGGAAGTGATAAGCTGAAAGTACAAGTCTTCAGGCTGTCCACCAGAGAAGCATAGGGCGATAGACTCTGCCTCAGCGATGTACGTAGGTAGAATTTTGAGGACAACATAGTCAATAATAATAATAATATTTCCCTAGATGTCAAGGGAAAGGATAAGGTTCAAAAGATATTAATGTAGTATTTTTCCAAGTTGTCCAATCCAAGAATTAACCGAACCAATTCTTTTTTTTTTTTTTTTTTTTTTTTTAATCCTCATCTGAGGATACTTTTCCCATTGCTTTTCAGAGACAGAGGGAGGGAGGGAAAGAGGAAGGGAGGGAAACATCAAATGTGAGAGACATATCTACTGGTTTCCTCCCGCATGTGTCCCAACTGGGGGTGGGGAGCAAACCACAACCCAGGTACATGCCCTTACTGGGAATTGAACCCATGACCATTTGGTGAGCAGGCTGAACCTCTTAAGCAGTGAGCCACACCGGCCAGAGCCCAAGCTGATTCTTATATGAAAACGATAACTGAGCCCTAACTGGGTAGCTCAGTTGGTTCAAGTGTCATCCCAATAAGCTAAGGTTGTAGTTTCCACCCCTCCATCCCCCGTCAGGGCATAGACTAGAATCAACCAGTGAATTCATGGCTAAGTGGAACAACAAACAGATGTCTCTTTCTCTAAATTCAAACAAATAAATAAAAAATTAGAAAAAGATATTTGAAAAGCTCTGAAATACTTATTTAAATACAACTTTCAGAGGCACAAAAGAACCCCACAGGCCTATAAGACAAAATTAATATGAAGAATCTGTAGGACTAAAATTGCACTAAGACACAAAAACTCAAAGTTCACATATGGTAGTTACGTTGCTCTTTTAATGTCCAGATTTACTCATATAAACCTAAGAAGCAATTAACTGTGATCTGTTATGGTATAGTAGAACTGACTAATTGCAAGACACATATATAAATGTCAGACCACTATTCTTTAAGGGAACCAGACACCAGGACTCTTTCCCATCTGTAAACTATTCCAAGTGCCAACATATTTCTGACTGAGGGAGGACATGCTGAAGAAAAGTCAAGTCAACTTTCTATCTTAACGTCCCCCTCGCACAGATTTGCGGAACTGTGCCCTATCACTGAAAAGCTAAAGCACTTGCTCTGTGACTTAAAAAGATCTTATCTCCTGACTTCCTCTCACCTTCCTTTGATCTTGGCCGGGTGCCCCAGTCACTCCATTAGAGAAAGCAGATGGCTCACCTCACCCCCGGCTTTCCCACCACCGCTAACCTCTGATCTGAAGGTGTTTGCAGATACACTGATGGAACATTTATTATTTTCCTCTCAGCAAAACAAAAAAACACAACATAGGGGACAGTTTGCCCCAGTAAGAATTTTAAGCAGCATTTTAGTGCTCAGACTCACTGCATGGAGGGACAGAAAGGAAAGGCATTAGGTCAGAAAGGAGGGCGGAAAGGGACATGGAGGAGTAAGTGGGCAGAAGCGGGAGAAGAGTAAGGCCCATTCCAAATATCAAGAGTAATTCCACGTGAACTGATCACACTAAATTGAAAAGGACTCTGTAGTGTGCCTTTGCAGTGAGAGTGAGAAAAGAAAACAAGCAAGTCCCCATCTGTGCTGCCCCAGGGCGCCGCGTACTGAGTTTCACAAACCTAATGAAGCAGTCAGGTTAAAATCCAGCCGCAGAGGGGATGTGTCATGCGGAGAACAGCGAAGGGTAGAAAAGAGAAGCAGGGCGGTTCCTAATGCAGGTGATTATCCATGTGATAATCATTATATTTACAGGCTTTCCATTTTAGATCTGACATCAGAAATCACAAAGGAGGAGGGATTAAGGAAATAAACAACCTACACAGAGGTTTTCCTGCTCCCCTGAGAGGGTAGCACTTTCATTCATGCATGACAAGCAACAAAAGCAGAATCAAACAGGCCAGGAAAGAGTATTTCTGAGAAGGCAGCATTTCACATTAACACTTCTTTCCATTTTGATAACTTCCACTATTATTCAGCTTCTCAGACAGGTTACATTTTCAGAATCAGTTCCCATTGTTGTCTATGCTTTAATACTGTATCATTTTTTGGTTTACAATGAATGATACTCACATCATATGTCTTTTACAACAACAAAGTCATTTTTTCCTTCCTGGAATTGAGTGTTGTGAATAAAATGACATATAATTAAAGTCTTAGACGCTCATCTACACCATGCTATTTAGGATTTGCAGTAGCTTGCTGCTTCACTGACCAGGCTAAAAGGGTTCCAGTGAAACAACAACCAAATACAGTTTTTTGAGTGGAGATTTAAAAAAAAAAAAAAAAACACCTGAAATTCATGGTTAATGAAAACTATGGAATATTTACATTAAGAGCAATTTAAGGGGATTAGCAAGTCACTATTAAATAGCATAATCCTCAGATTATGCAGAAAAGGAGAAACTCAAGTGCTTGTTTGTATGTATGCATGAAAGACAACTATCTCCTTTTAGCAGTCCCTCCTTATCCACGGTGTAGCTTTTTGTAGTTTCAGTTAAATATGGTCTGAAAATACTAAATGGAAAATTCCAGAATTAAACAATGCATTCGTTTTAAACTGAGTGACGTTCTGAGTAGCATGACGCTATCTTGCACTGTCCTGCTCCATCTCACCCAGACTTGAATCATCTCTTTGCCCAGCTTATCCACAGTGTACATCCTATCTGACCATTAGTTACTCGGTAGCCTTCTTCTTTTTTTTCAATCCTCACTCGATATATTTATTGATTTTTATTTTTTTTAAATTTATTTTTATTTATTTATTTATTTTAGAGAGAGAGGAAGAGAGAAACG